GCGTGACTCCGCGGGGGATCTGCCATCCGTAATAATCCGTGAAAGCCTGCACCACGTCCTCCGCCAGAGGCGACCTGCCCCTCTTCTTACAGAAGTCCAAGACGGCGGAGCAGGACTTTCTTGGTCTTCATCTCTAAATCGAGGCCGCAATGGGCCTTGGCGATCCGGCTACTCCTCCAAGGCGTGAAGTTGGGCGGAACCGCGTTCCGGCGATGCCGCAGGGCAGGCCTAGGCTGCGGGAGGACAAACTCAGATTCCTGCATCACGCTATCAAGCAAGGAACGTAGATATGGTCGTTGCATGGCCTCGGGGCCCGTGGCATGCACAGCAGGGCCCGCACCAGCGGCAGGGGAGGGAGTGGGCCGAGGATCCGAGGTGGGGGAGTGGAGCACCGGCCTGGGATCCCGCACCCCAGGAGGTGACAAAACGATCGGGGCAATCATCGATGAGGCCGCGGGCATGGGGCATGGAGGGGACAAGCGGCCCAGCGTGACCGGGTCAACAACCACTCCCGAGGGTGGGGACATGCGATCTTCTTGGGGAGGGGAGCCAGAGCTACAGGCTCCAGAATCATCACCTGGGTCCACGCGAGGGCGGGAAGGTGAGGGCGGGTTGGTGGGAGACACGCCACCAGCGTCCAAACTGCACGGAGTAGACAGCCTGGGCGGGGTTAGGATCCTCTGCAGTACTGTACGGTGCTGTACAGTTACTGCCATGTGGGACCTGGCCCCACATGTCATCGACACTACAGCACCATACGATACTGCAGAGGATCTCAACCCGCCTGGGTGGGCCCGCCTCGGAATACGTGAGAGGGAGGGGCCAACAGGCGACAAGGGCGTGGTTGGGCTCCTACAGATCGCCAGCTGGCGGGAGTTTGAACGTGGACCGGATCCCGGGAGGGACAACACAGGATCAGCGGCCACTCTATCCGGCCCCACAGCGGGATTCCCACGCTTTTCCAGAGTCCTGGCAGGACGTAAGTGGTTGGAAACGGGGCCCACCGAGCGGTGGGGGGGAAATGGTGGGGTAGGGCCCCAGGATGCCCTGCCAACCACGGTAGGGGGGGGGGCGGGATGTCGATGGCGACGAACGCCGGTGGCCGCACCAGCACCGGTGGAGCCATGTCTGCCTGAGGCGCAATGGGGGAAGCTATGGCGGGCAGGCCAAGCGGGAGGGAATGGAGGGGAGCCCATTGGCTCCTCGTCAGAGCCAGGGCCCGCCAGGGGAGGCGCGGTGGTGGTGGGGGAAGGCGGAAGTCGACTGAACGACGAATGTGGAGTCGACTGGCCAGCGAAGCAGATGGAGTGCGAATCTCTCGGCACGGTCTGGGTCGGCGTTCGACCAGACGGCATCATGCTCGGGGAGGAACAACTCCGAGGTACGAGGGATGTCGTCCGGGTTCAGAGTCCAGGCCGAGAGGCGGAAGACCGCCATGTCGCTACCGTCGCGGGTTTCCGGCGCGAGGTCCTCGATGATGCAGTACGGGGAGAGCAGCCGCTCCACCGACGCCTGACGCCAGCCATGCTCCAGGATACCACGGATCTCGATGTCGACGCGTAGACGAAGGATGAGCGGCTCAGCACCAGCGAAACGACTCCAGGGATGGAACAGCAGCCGGAAGCGCCGGGTGCAGACTGGCCACTCCGCGACACGAGCCCGCATCGCCGCGTCCCGGAAATGCACCAGAAACTCGCCATCGGGGCGGAGGTGGATTGAGAAGGCATCCTCAGGGAGGCTGAACCGGTCGCGGAGCGCGGCGGCAACACCGTCGCGGCAGACGCCCGCGCGGTTGGCCTCCATGATCACCACCAGGGCGCACTCTAGGGCCTCCTCAGCGGCGACGATCTCCGGCGAGCAGTCCGGGAAGCAGAGCGCGCTTGGGGGGCGCAGTGAGGGGTGCCCTGACATGGCCGTTGTGGAGCCGGAGGATAAGGATGGCGGTGGAGAGACAGCGGCGGCGCCGGAGGCCGAGGGAGGGGAGCCAGAGGGCGGAGGTGAGGCAGACGACTCGGGCGACGCGGGCAGGCTGGGACCCCACAGGCTGGAGGCCGACGAAGCGGGCAACGGAGACAACGCGCTTGGGGGCCGGCGCGGAGCGCGGGGGGGAGGAGCAAGGGGCCTCGCATTCGCGCGCGACGTGCCCGTAGAAACGGCAACGCTTGCACGGGATATCCCGTCGGCATTCCGCGCGGACGTGCTCCGTGCTAAAGAATCGAGGGCATTCACCGGAAGCAGGGGGCGGCGGTCGGGGACGCGCGACCGCGGCCTGGCCCAGGGACCGGCGGGAGCGACGCCGCCGACGGGGGCGCGGCCTGTGGCGCCCCGAGGCCACAATCCAGTCGGAGGCGTGGC